TATTTCATATTAGGCCATGAGATTTGATGGCTCTAGGAAGAGGGATGGGAGCTGCTGATTATTGTTACCTGGAGGTCTCCTTATTGTTCGGATTTCTTGGTTCCTTTATGTAGAAAAACCAATTCATCAAGAAAAACCCCCTGAGAACTAGTTTTTCTTCAGTGCAAACGTGATGTACTGGAATTGCCAGGCAGTTATGAGTGAATGGACAGCGGAGACGAAAGTGATATGACAGAATACCTTCGTTTCTTCTCATAATCAATTGATGAGCAGTAGTGCAACGGGGAAAGCCGTCGTTGAAATGCTCTCGGCTCCAGGATCTAGTCGCGCTCAGCTCAGTCGATCTCCCCATTTCTTACAAATCGATGACTAGTTTGGGACTGACAATGAGAAGGTCTTGGGGCTCAAAAACATCAACTTGGAGAAAGATGAATGTGCGCTCAGATGCCTTCCCGTTCCATAATCGAATTCGTAGGTGTGACTCATTTCGAAGTAATTGAACAGTAATGAAACGTTTCCCGTTCCTCAGATTCTCTAAATAGCAGTTGGTAAAAAGAGAATAAGGCACAACAAGGGGTTGGACAACAGGTGCCGCCACTGCCGTAGACTTTCTTCTGAGGTCAAATCGCAGGTAAAGTCTTGGCAGTGCTGGCTGAACCCTCAGGACCCACTGGGACGGTTACTCGGGGTCAAACTCTGTAGGGTGGAGGTATGGGGGTAACGAATTCACCACATCAGCATGTCATTATTTTCCATCAGACAGTTCACCATAGTCGTCGTAAGACCTAAAGCACATCTGCAATTCAGCGCCGTCCGGAAGCGGAAAGCATGGCCTATTGCGGGTGGTTCCAATCATTACCATACAATTAAGCAAGTTTTTTAAGCAAAAAAACTCGTTTTGTCTTTGTTCCAGCCTACATAGCCAACACATAGCTCCTTAGGGCCACCTCTTTCGATCTGCTTGAATCTGGTCCTGACTTTAGCAATTTTTTTTATCGATGTTTTTCTTATCTCCCAAGATGCTTCAAGGTTCCGTCCATGGGAACTACTTGCCTCGGCCCACCACATAATTTGGTTAGTTGACTTGTGTACAGTAGCTGAAATCCATTGCGAATGGTTTGGGGTTGTTACTCTTCCCAACCAATACTAAACGAATTATCTTATTTTTCTGTTTTTAAAATGATTGTTATGAATATCGCTTTCTTTTACATATTACGTGTTTCCTTCACAAAAGCTTAGAAATCCCGTCAACCCTAAGATAGTGTTAAAGTCGCAAGAATCTTACCGAACACAGATTACTCATGATCAGAAGGCGAGTTAAAGAGCCGAAGCTCCTTGGATTCCCATTGCAACGATCTTGTTAGAGGAATAGGAATTAAGATAAATAAGAATTGAAATAAAACAATCCCGTTTCAATGAGATGGAATGGAAGTTAGGAGACTTCTATCGTAAGACGCGCTATTGCCAAGAAGCACAAACGTGCTCTATGCAAATCAAATTTTGGCCGCACCATAGAGAACCGACTTCCTGTAATTCGATGGCATTCTTTACTAAACAACTAATTCCGTATTCACAAAACTTTGTAAAAAACTACAGGCTTCTGCAACTAGTATTGTAAAGGTTTTGGCGGAGGTGGTGCAGTGGCAAGTGGCGCACTATCACACAGGCAAGGTCTGGTGTTCGAATCCCAGACCTTGCTTGTGTGATAGTGTGGGTCGATTATCGCAGCCAGCCTAGCCTTCCATCTTTTCCGGCTGTTAATTGGTACCAGACTTGACTAGGAGGATGAAAACGCTGAATTGTACATCGGCTAGCCACCGAAAGTCATTGTATAGGCCACACACGCAACCAACACGCCATTATCATTCCGAACAGACGTCGAATGCGTACCGCATCCCTCAGACGGGTTGTTTACGTCAGAAGACCTATTTACTACTTGCTAGAGGCTTTACTTCGACTTCACTTATCTTATTTTACTAAAAAGGAGGCTTAGGAAAAATAATGTAATGTAGACTGAAAGATCAAAAACTGCTCGATGATTCACTCCTCTCGCAGCGACCCATTTATGATTAGCTATAATGGCTGTCTTAGAGATTCTGTATGAAAATGGTAAAGTGTGAAGAAACGATGAGATGTTAATTGAAAATTTCTGCAAAATGTCTCGTTTCAAAATCATCTCGTCTAAATGAGCAACGGGGCATCTATTTCTAAATAGAGTGGTGGTGGGCTGAAATCTAATTAAACTGGTGATGACTAAAGACGAGGAACAAGAGTTAATAGCTTACAGCTGAAACTGGATTCGAAGACCTACTAGTGGGGTTGTAGGCACATTTCACGAGAAAACTGTGGTATTTAGTTTTAGACGAATGATGGAAGTGGTAGTCCAGAATAGTGCAAAAGTGGCGTAGAAAAGGTGAAAATAAGCGAAAATCGGCGTATTTGGAGAAGTGTGAGGTTCGAAAAAAAAGTCAAGAAGGGCTTAGTTAGACGGGAATGCTACGAAGAAAGCTGTATGGAAGGGCGAACAGTACGGAGAGTAGCCAAAAAAATAATAAAGTTAAGGTTGGATGAGGAAGTGACGGCAAAAAATTGCAAGGAAGGGGTGTTTGAACAAGCTGTCGAAATGTGGGCGCCACTGCGTACAGCTGGGTACAGTAAGCTGCTGGCGTGCAAAGTGTGCGTCCCGTTGCGAACGGTGCAACCACTGCAGCCTCGACAACGTTGTAAGAACTCGTCCGTCTTGGGTGTATAGTCGGCTAAGCTAATTTAGGGGCCCTTATAGTTAGATATAGCACAGTATAATATAGTGTGCATAGATAGTTAGCATGGCCCGTGATCAAATCTTGGATTGGCCTAATCAACATCGGCCAAGCTTTCCGCCTATCTACTGCTATTTCAGGGTCATTAAGGAGAATAAATATAATATAAAATCAATCGTTCACTAGCAGGTTTTTTTCAATTACGTTACAGAAACAGATCACCGGTTCAGAACCACAACGATTGCTGATGGAACTCATATTCATGGCGCATCTCTTTAATATGTAGACCCATCGATGTTGTATAACTTGACGACCACTTCTTGTAATCCTCCAAATAATTTACCGTAACTTTTTAATAACCTAACTCAGAGACACAGTTCACGATAATTTTGGGTTATTTAGTTTTATTTATTTATTTTTTTTAGTTTTATTTAGTTCAGTTAGTGGAAGTGATAGTCCAGAATAGTGCAAAAAGAGTGAAGAAGGCGCGGAAATCGGAGAAATTCCATAGGAAATAAAGCTTCAAAAAAAGTAGTAAAATGGGGGGTTGGATGAGAATTTTACGAAAAAGCTGCATGGAAGGGGCATTTGGATGAGCTGTTCAGAGCGTGCGCCATTGCATGCAGCTGGCTGCAATACCTGTCTGCGTGCCATGTGTGGGTCCCGGTGCGAATTTGCAATCTCTAAAGCTTCAACAACGTCTAACAACTCGTCCGCCTTGGGTGTATTACGGCCTATCTTGACTGTTTTTCGACACACAGCGCCCCTTAGGCTATCCTTGAGGATCACAAGTCCATTATAGGGAGGAATCTCAGAAATCATGTTTCTTTAACAGCTAGCTTGTAATTCCGTCTTGTAGAAAGCTGCTTTTCTAATTTTCAGCGTTTATTTCTCTAACTCTTTGGGAAATTTGAATCTTCGGAGAACCGCGGATTTTCAGATGGCAGTACTTCATGTAATTTAATTCTACGACTAATTTCTTATGTTGTCAAAGTTTAACTTTGTCTAGGACAAACCACATGGGCTCGGTTCCAAAAGTTTGCGCTGTTTTCTATTTTGTATTACCTTCCAATACATATCGATTTCTCAGAACTATTTAATCTTTTTGTAAAGTACAATGGAATGTGTTGTGAAATGCTGAGTAGTCAAGAAAATATGACTAGAAGGAAAATTGAGTTTTAAAAAAATTAAAAAATTGAAACGGGAACTGTTCAAAGAATACGAAACTGGTTGCACCATGGTGACGTAGGGTTAGATGGCTAATGTTCTGATAATAAAAGTTTTTTACTGGCTATTACTTACAACGCACCAAATGCTGACGAAGTGACTGTATGGTGTGCAGTTCTGTCAGGGGTAAATACGAGGTAAAACCCTCCCCTCCCTTTTTATTGGGTGATCCTTATTCCCCACTGCCATCCTATTTCCTAGCTCCTGAAAAAGGATTTCGCACGAGTTGATCCTGATCTATCCCAGTCGTTTCTATAGAGATCTTCAGGTACAGTAGGCACAAGCTCTTCTAGGGGTCGCCCCCATGCACCCAACGTAGGCAGGCCCTTACGTATTTGTAGGAGACGGTCAAGGATGCCTGATCGATTTGATCGAAATATCGATTCAAATTATTGCACTAAGTAAAAGGAAAAACGCTCGAAACTGGTGAACCACTTCTTATTGAGCCGCGCGTTCGTATCTCGTCCGAAATCGTCACGAGTTACAGCTCTACTAACTCGAGCTCTTTGCTTGAAGGGGGCTTGACTTGACTGTTTGAGTCGACGGATTGCGCCGCGCTTTCCAAACTAGCGACTTTTGCCTTCAATAAGTACAAAACCGAAGAAGTATTTTGAGGAAATGATTAAAGTTTTCAACGAAATGCTACTTCATGAGCATAAAGTGAATATAGGCAAACTAACCTCATTACCTTCACGGATCCCCGGAGTTTTGCCATCGAACTAAGCCGGTCCCCTACGAAATTTTTCTAGTGAAACTCACTGAAACTAAAAATCAAAAGAGAAATACAGGATTCGTACTGGTAAACACCTCTGGCTGTCATTTCATAAATACTTCCATTTACCAACAACTTTATTCAACTTAGTTTGAAAAGCATCTCAACTGTTACTTATATATGTATGAAAAAGTACAGGGACCATCACCTGCCCTAGTGAGCAATAATAGTTATTCAGAAAAACATTCTAAAAAGTATTTTCTGGAGATGATGTACTGTTGTAATCAATCAATAATCTAGAAATGAATAATTTCAACGGGATCTTGTTTGGTGTCTTTTTTGACGGCAGTCTCAGGTGTACTCTGTGTGTAGATGAACGCCTGTGATGGTTTGCGAGTTTTCTTCACGGGACCCTCGGGACCTTCGGCAAATGATCCCGATGAGATGGACAGTACACTGTGAAGAGATTCCTCGTCTTCGGACACTTCTTCAATAGTCGCTGGTTTGTGGGTCTCGGGCACTCGTAGAAGAATTTCCGGAGGTTCTGTTTCTCTCATCAGTTTCGATACCAACAATTCCATCTCATCAAGACGTAGGTTGAGGAGATTGACATCGTCGAACAGGTGATCCTGCTGAAATCAGTTTTTCCATCGAAGAGTAATAATCGTTATTGTTTATATAACAAGGGAACAGATAGTGTAGTGCCAAGTGGCGCGCTACCAAAAGTATGTTGCGTGGTTGAATCCCCGATCTGCACTCGCCCAGGCCCTACGGACATGGTCAGTAGTAACTAGACTCGTCCGGAAGGACGACCTAACTTACTTTTCTAAGCACTGGTATCAGTAGTCGCTTTGTGTGAATATGAACACCTGCGATGACCTGCAAGTTTTCTTCACAGGACCCCCCGCTCCCGGCCGAGGATCCCACAGAGATGTACATTACAACTATCAGGCGTCCAGAGCTGCTTACTTTCTTCCGGATGATCCAACGATTGAGTTCATTTTTAATTAGGTTGATTTTCCTTCCTATTCCTTTAGTTTCCCACAGCACGTCCCAGCGAGTGAGTAGGTGTTTAATTTCTTTGGAATTGTTTGTGCCAATTAAGCTTGTTAGATGGTGACAGACTTCTCCCAAACACTATTTGGACTGTGATTCAACCTACGATGTACATCTGGGACAGCTACATTATGTTATTCTGTTCATCATCAACCGAAAGCGAAAGAAGCTGTTCACGAGGTCCTTTTCTCTCATTA